CACTTAACTAATATTTTAAACATTATGTTTCTTAAGATTTATTCAGTCAAGCGAAAAATCTAGGAATACAAAGAAATCGACAGGAAAGAGGTGACCCATTTGCGTTGCCACGCTAAATACACGGAAGATTTTTCTAGTCTATAATGCGCGTATTGTAATTATATATCGTTAACTTTCATGACATAACTCGCAAAATAAGCCCACTTTAACAATGGAAATGTAATAAAATAAGCGGATATTATACGACTCTGACAGGTTACCGTCAAAAGTTTAGTTTTTCATTAAGCATTATTTATCTGCGACAACAATAAATTAACGTTTTTGTAGTAATAAAAAAGAGCGTAAATTTTAACAGTATAAGTTAAATTCTCATTTTGGAAACAATATTTACTTTTTGAAACAACATCACGGGGTTGTCGTTGGGACCAACGCTATTTATCTTTCTTACTTGTTTGCGTTCAGGTAGTTTATTGATTTCTAAAATATTACTATATTAAAATTTGGAATAATACTTAAGTTTTTAAATAGTCATATCACAATAAAGTTTTAGGATAATTAATACTGGGAGAAAAAAACATATTTAGCAAATCAACTTAAGTTATTCCGGACAGTGATTGTCCTGCTAAATTCTTAGAAATCACAATAAATCAACAAAAGCACTTCCATTATGAATATTAAAAAAAAAATTAACAAACTCGCGTTAGCTAATTGTGATTGCTTTTTATTAAAAGTATATTATATTTACACAGAATACTGCCGACCGGCTTCAAGTTCAGGTGGGTTTAAATTGACAACTAGTTGGTTTTTGTTCCATAAAAATCATTAAACTTTAGTCAATTCATACATAACAAAATTTTCACTCATTGGTGGTCACCGCATGAAATTACTTTTAGTACGTAATGTTTGAGTTTATCCGATAGAGACAAACAAACGTGTATGATTCTATGATACACCAAAATGAAATGTGTAGTAATTATTCATATTTTAATTTATTCACAGTCATATAAGTTTTGATGTTCATTTAACATTTCACTCATAAAAATATTTGTATTTTTACTACTTTATATTTTTATTGCATATTTTTGTAATATGTATATAGAAACAAACTTAATTAATAGTGTTCTATGAACTTAATAATAATATCGCCTTGATTTTAAGTAGGTAATTTTTTTCCTTTATAGCAGAAAAAAAATATTACCGTAGGTTATTACCATTAACATACTTTGTTTATTCTAAATAAATAATTTCATTGATAATTGGTCGTAATTCAGTCTCATGTTTCTTTAGATTTACGATAGATAGATTTAGAATTACGATAGTAGTTTCAGAAATCTAAGATTAATTTTGATGATGCCAAATCACAAGACTGTGAGCTTCACTGGTAGTTTCCGTTATTAGGCGACTAAATGCTGGAATAATATACCTCCTATGTATTTAGAAACAAACGTATCATATGTAGATGAATTTTTAAATGCATTTGAGATCTAGGTTGATATAAAATCAAGTTCCCGACAATTAGTCGCTCGATGTTGATGGTGGTGGTAGGAATATTAACGGTTACTCTGTTTTACATTTTCTTACAAATGTGGCTGTGACTTTGAATAATTTATTTTTATCTATTTACTTTATTTTATTAATCTATATAAGTTATACATTTATTACATATTTTAGTTAGTAAGTATTTATTAGAATTATTATAGCTGGTTAGTATTGTAGTTCTATTATCAATTTCTTTGTAAATTCCTCAAATATTTATATTAATGAAAATCAGTGCTTTGCTCTCTGAGTAAATACCCACTGAGTTTTCGACCATTTGCATCGCTGCGGTAGGTACACATATTGTTTAGTTTAGTTATGGAAAATTTGTTAAATTTTGTGCGTGCATGATGGAAATAAAGAATTCATCTATCTATTGCAAGTTATTAAAAATCATAGAAGCATTTTATTAAAGAAAGACGGTATCACGGATTAATAATGAATACATGAACTTCTTCAAATAAGAACGTCCCGAAATTATAGGTCGGCAATAAAAATCAATGATGTCCTTATTCTACTTTTTGAAACCAATACAGTTAAGTTATATTTAGCATAGATTGTTCAAGCAGCCATCTTTGTATTTTACAATTTACATTTCGATATATTTTTTTAGTTAGACATTCTGAACCATCGATAGGTGACTTTAGACAAGGTAATTTGTAGCTAGGATTTCAGAGGAGCTTGTTAAAAGTCTCTATCGATTACTCATTTTATAAACAGCGCTGAAGGTTGTCAAAGAATCGATAGTCGTTCTATCAAGTTAGATGTTCGAAACATCGAGTTCGGAATATTATAAAAAAAGGTGTCCGACTTATTTTCCTACGAATGAAATCGAAAGAATTTTGACTTTATCGTGGAAATAGAAGCAATTAACGCTTCGTTTGCCTTTCTTTAAAAAATTGGAACAGAACAAAATCGCTTCTCGCTGTCTCTACGCTGACATCTTTTAAGCTGCTCAACGGATTTTACATAATATTACATTTTTTATACCCACGGATCGGTTCGTCATACACGTGTGACATAAGGCTATAATTTCTGAGGGCATAGTGACAGGAAAAAGCTCGTAAAACATTAAAAGCTTTATGACTCGGACAGTGACCGATAAGCCCGTAAACTACGACACGAAGCCCGAAGTCTACCCCTTTTCTGTACCTTATTCACATTGATCGGTCATTGGATTATCGATGAATGTAAATGATACATTATGTCTTGTTTTTTCAATGTCAAGTTGGATAGCGAAAATTATGTATTCTACAAAACTTATTCGAATAAATCATGTTTTTATTAGATACAAAAAAAATGACAAATACCTAGATAAGATCTTGTGAAAACATTTGTCGCTTGTGCAACTTTAAAGCAAGTCATGCAGATAAATAATAAAAGATATTACACCGTTAGAAATAGGTAATTCAATGATTTCAATAATATCTATGATGAAATCATAAATTATATTACTATTGACAATAAACGTTGATTTGTGATCTATAGGTAATAAACTAATATAAAAAAAGTAAAGTCCCTTTGTTTGTTTGTAGAAGGTAATCTTCAGAAATACTGAACCGATCATAAATTCTTTCCTATAATTTACGAGAACATCGTAGAAGAACAGCTAGTCTCAGATAAAATGATACCAGAATCTAAATGTATTTGACGCTAAGTTATGGCAAAGCTTTTGTTGATTAAATGATAGTGTATGATATATGGCCCACGATATACCTATATTTTAAATACAAAAGCCGAATGAAAATACAGCACCTAGCTGTATTTTTTGAATTCGGTACCTCTAAGCGAAAAGAGTATTATTAGGATCACATTCAGTTAAAAAACACGAACATGTCGTAGAGCGCACTGCTGTTACGTCATGAAGCTTCAATGAAATAAAAACTTCATCATCTTTTAAAGAAGGTTTTATTTGATTGACTGTAAAAAAATATTTCATAAAAGAGTCACAGACGATATATATCAGGAGACCAGTTTTTAATGGCAAAGGTAAGTTCGTATTTTCCTTAAAGCAATGTTCAATGCTTTCATAGGTTTAGAACTTTAGTATACATATATAGTACGGAACCATCTATGCGTGAGTACGACTCCCGTTTGACCAGTACTTGCACTCTGCAGACGCTGCAAGTAAAACGTAAATGGAAACACGAAAACCAGACAGAGTAAATACATAAATCCAACACGATCGAAAAAATCAAACATATCTGGATAACACCGGACCGATGGTAGCCCTACCTATAATAATGAATGTACATACGCTGCTGGGGAGTCAACGACCCCTTAATTACTAGGTTAACATACTGTTTCATATCCAAGTAACAAGCAACTTGGCATATTTTTAATGAGTGTTCGATTTTTGTAATGTTCCGTTTAATTGTGTAGAATAGTTATTATGAAAACGTAATTCATCGATACTCGTGAACGACCTTTTTCAAATCGAATAATTAAAAAAGAAAATATCTAGCATTCCATTTAATTGCAACCATACTAAATGAATAACTGTTTTCATTTAGTCGCAATAAAATTTTGGGGCTATTTCGCCTAAACATGAATATTATTACTCAGTATGACTTGCAAAAGATCGCCTCTGACTCTACCTAATAAACTACCTCCTACATATTTCATGTTTATTATAAACAATAAGCAAGGCTTTTGCTAATTATGTTCTCTAAAAATTTTATTTTGTACCAACGTTGTTAAGACTCCAATCCGTTGCATGCCTTAAAGTGACACTTTTAGAAATGCATTCAATGTTATTAAAATGATGATACATTATTTACACAAATTATAGCTGGTTAACAGGAAACTCAAGAGTTATATGGGTTCATAGTTAAACTTTAGATAAGATACCATGTAAGTTGTATATAAGGAAGTTAAAGATAGAGTGCATTGTCGAGCTTGTGGAACGGGGCTGATTAGTAAAAAAATGTGCGGAACTTAAAATTCATCGTTGGGAATTTCTGTATTGTCTCACTTTAGGGAGGGTGTGCAGGTAGACAACACGTGATACTACGCAGACGCAGACTAGAGGCATGGCCTTTACAAATAAACCGGTTATAAGGATCGGCATGAACGACGAGTAAACAGGAATGAAGTTTGCTAGCTATTTGATTATGTTATCAGTGCGCGTGATATTCTCACGCGTATAAATACTAAAATAGAGATAAAACTCGCACCACAGAACTATAATTTACATATTCCGACATAGAGTACTTATTCACTAGATTTTCAGGAGCAAAATTATTAATAGAGCGATGAAACACAACTCTGTAATCGCTAAATTACCAAACAGTAAGTAATTCGTGATTCATGAAACATAAAAAAAAATCAGCCTTATTTTTAAACTGCCAAAATAGTTTCACACGTAAGTGTCGTATCGCACATCTATAATTAATATACAGTCGCTTTTTACATAGAAATCACATTGCTATCATAGAATTTTTTATAGAATATGGAAGACTTACCTCGTGCGCTGAGTTGTCGGTGCTGAGGTTATAGGTTATGTGACGAAAGCGCGGGCCACGTGTATTTATAGAGAGCAGAGCAGCACCGCTCGCAGCGCGGTTTAAAATCAGAATGAGGGATGCCGATGGCTGGCGCTGGACGGCCGGCGAATATACGCACACTGCAACTGGTAACAATTGTTGCGTCACCAAACAACGCGGCAAACTATAATGTTCAGTATGTACACCGTAGACTATAGGGAAGCGTACAACATATGTATGTACACCCACCCACGCGACTATTTGTTTCGGTGCTTTTCCCGATATGCATCGATGTTCTGTAATAAATTCAGCGGTGAACTCGGCTTACAAGAGGGCTGTTACAGGATAGAGGCTTAATCAAATTAAACCTTTACTATCTTTGGAAGTAAGTTTGAACCTCTACACTGTTAATTCACTTGTTCGACGTTTAGTTAGGGGCTTATTTTATTAAAGAATATCTCCGCTGCAAATAACGTTTAAAGATTATTTTAAATTTTATCGATGACTACTGTATGGTGATCTTTAGTTGTGGTTTTTTTTTTTAATAATAGCTGAAGTGTGGTGGGAATAACTAGCGAATGGATCCTTCCTATGCTCTTATATTAAGCTCTCACATGCATAAGATTTGTCTGACATCTCCAATAACGATTATTCATTAGACCATTCACTCAATTTTTATAAGATCACGAATGAATTCCACCAAAACTTTTTTAATATATTAAAATCGTTGAAAAGTTTTGTAAGTTCAGTTGGAAGACTTTGTTTTATAATAATAACACAGTGATGTCAAAAAGCATGCTATTATTAATTCGATTTATTTTTTCTTCATCGAATGGGTTCATGTGAAATGAAACTTATCTAGATGATTAAATATTAATTAGATAATAATATTTTTATTTTACATTTTATCATATTGACGAAGTGAACAAATTTACATTTAGCAGTTTGTTTTACCATAATTTACTTAATTTTGCATTATCATCTACTAATAAATGTGAGTGCTGTTTAACGACAAGTAGTGACACGGCGGTCGAAATTCGACCATGAAGTTTAAATATCATTAAGGTTTTTTCGAAGAGAATACTTCATTATCATTGTTTGACAATCAGCAAACAATTGTAATATTTTCCATATGTGTGTAATTATTTCTCTATATGCGTATAATTACATCTCCATCAATTTCATGTATTTTACAACATTATTATAACAAAAATATTAGCATTACACACTTCTTCTCAATATAAACATTAACTGTGAAAATTTTCAAACGCCTCCGACTGCGCAATCTCGGAAAAAGGAGTCCGAATTTATTGCTTCATATAAATACGGATTACGCAATTATACACAATATTATGACGTAATTGGTTTACAGGATATTTGTACCAAGCGTCATCTTGGCTGATATTGAGTTAGAGTCACAGTCTGTTTTTAGATATCTGGAAATATTTGTAGTTTTCCAAAAGAAAAGAAAGAAATGCATGTCTAATTAGTAAAGGATCTATTGAATATACTAGAGCGGTGCGTGGTGATGATTATCACCACACCCTCCGAGGATGACTTCGGAGGGCCCATTAAGCCGGTAGTCCTGGTTGCATCTGCAGCATTTAGCACCTAAATACTCACGGGGTTCGCGTGGTGGGTCTGGCTCATTCTACCGATTCGATTCCATTCATAACGAAGACCTGTGCTCCAGCAGTTGGAATATTAATATGCTGATGACGATGAAAAACGTCATATTATATGTCCGAATTAGTATTGAGGGTAAGGGATGGTGGTGCTTGGTTTTGAAAAGTAAAAAAATATTCGCATTCTTTACAGATATCACTCTATATTACGGAATCAACATATTAGTGAATTATAGGGTCACTTCTTAAAGTGATTGTTTATAGTGTCCCTAAGGGCGTAGTGCTGTTATCCATCTAATAGTAAATTAGATTTTGTTTAGGTAATCAAAGAGGTAATAATAAGATTAGCCCAAGTAGGAATATGTAAAATGTAAAGCTGTTTCACTGTAAACCTGTTTACAAATCTGTCTGGATTGAAATCGTCACCTTTATATGTTGTAATCATCATTATTAATAAAACTGTTCATGGGACTTAGCCATTTTAAATTATAGCCTATAGTTATAATGTTATCTAAGAGCCTATGAATTCGTGCATTCTTCCACTAATTAAATGCAAACAAACAATCAAAGCTCTCTTTATGGTATTAAAATTTATTTAAATGTGTTATTTGAACATTTTTGACGCTCTATAAATAGATAGTTTTATAATATTTTACACGGTTTTAAAGCGGTATCAAACCTGTCTTCTTCATTTACCGTTAGTATGAGTAAGACAGGTATAAACTTTAAGGACCAAGGTTGCTCACAAGAATAGGAGACTGGTTATAAAGAATGCGAATAATAAACACAGGCATGTGTTGACTGTAAGTGGAGGTGTGGTGGTTTGCTTATGAAAACGTTGCCATGGTAACGATACGAACTCAAAGGTGAATAGGTGACCTTAACGATGACCGTCGCAAGATTCAGGATTAGAAAACTCAAAGGCGGGAGTGACATTTAGTTCAAAAACATAATGTGTCGTGAATCTGTTTAGGTACTAATACCAATCCGACTGCGTACTCATACGGCTGTACATCAGGTTACCTTTAACACAATATAAAAGATAAAAAATATCAAATTGATACATAGATATAGTCAAAACAAACAAATGAAACGTTAAAGTTCTACACAGGAGAATAGACTAGACTAGAACATTTTATCAAGTGTGAGTTTACCTGTAAAAATCTTTTCAATGTTTTTCAAGTTTACTCGTTAATGTACTTTTGAAGAACTTAAATATCGAAGATTAATCTCTTGCAACTTAATATCTAAGTTGTTAGCACTTTGTCAATTAGGTATTACTGTGACATTTCTACTTCCTGTATAGTGAATATTATGTTAAATTTTTCGCTTGTGATTGTTTCTTTGCTCTATTAAATATTGAACCAATACTAATATTAAAAAGATGTAAAGTTCCTTGATTTTTTTATTCATTTGTTTTTAGGGGTTAATCTTCGAAAATACTGATTCGATCATGAAATTTCTTTCACCTACGGGAAACTAAATCAAACAAAAACAACATAGAATATAATTTACACAACGAAAACTACTAGTTATATTAGTTTTTAGCTTATTAAATCAAGTTGTTACAAAATGTCGAAGTGAAAAATATGTGTCGTGGACAAATCGTTGAATTGGGTCGATCGATATCTACCTAGGCATATCATGATATGCCGCTATTTCATGATTAGGCCAGGAAAATCACAATTGGCCCGGTTAATAGTTTGGAAGATCGACAAGAGCAACGTATTTGTCGATTAGCTCGATTTTTATTGTTTATATAAATTATTATTATTTAAAATTCAAATCCAGGTCACGGTATAAGTATGACATTTACATTGTGTCCAGGTTGTTGTCCATCATAGTACTTAGGTCACCATACAAAATCGATTGGCCTGAATATAATCGGGAAAATTGTCAAATGTTAAGCATTAAACTATAAACGGTCAGTTGCACAAACGTACATTAAGTTTAATGACTTCTTTCAGCTCTAATGAATGTCAAATTTCTAAGGATAATGTCGCTTGAAACTAATGAAAAATATAATGATCGTTTGTGCAACTAATAGAGGATTGTTTGAGATATCACATTTTACATAACGTAGCTGTCACTACGTTTTAATTTATCATACCTACATAATTCATTAACATGTTGTGAAATGATAAAATTAAACAAAAGTATGTCCAGAGTAGTAAAAATATTTGATTACACATCACAATGTAGTTAATAATATTAAGATAAATAAAATTAATTTGCTAAAGCAATTACGTTATCTTGTAATAAGTAAACAGATAAATAAATTATTACATACATTTTAATGGAAAACATATCTGAGTTGGAAGTATAATTTTCAGTGTAAAGTTCGCCTCGTGAAAGGGTAGCATACAATATGATCGGGGGGCCAATTCTACTAAATAAATACAATTCCAGCTAAAATAGAACTGGAATTGTATCGTATGTCACTTTGTAGAATAGGAATACCATTAAAAACTGTAGTTTCGTTCGGTTTCGATCCGTTTTCGATTCGATTTAAACAAAATTTATTTTGTAGAATTGCCCCCCGGTTCGTTGTTCTGTTACAATGAATGCTTTTGTACGCTCACTAAGTTAGCGCATAGCAAAATTTTTCTTCTGTTCTGTTTGTCTTTACTTAAACTCGGAGTTTTCGCCTTGCGCCACAAGTTGTTCACGTAATGGTAGAAGCAGCCTTTGATTGTAACATTCATTTTTTGCAACGCTCTCATTGTGCCTTCTTCGGAATAAACTTTGTGACTTTTGCAGGCTTCCATTCTGAAATTTGGGACAATGAAATCAAAGAAAATTGAATAAGCTTGTTTAGTCCTGTAACTTATGAACTCGTACACCATAGGAATCACATTCAAAGAAAAAATGCGCTAGTTAGTTTCTATAAAATGCCAAACACTAATTTGTTTAATCGAGCGTTTTTATTTATTTATTCCGAAATTATTTAAACATCTATATATAAAGGACTATTTTTATATCTAAATTAGTTCGACGGTCGAACTACTGGAAAAAAAAGTTCTCACTAGTCCGACGATCGAACTAGTGAGAACAAAAAACCGGCCATCGCTATAGTTGCTGTAGAACCATATCAGTGAGCATATTATATGTAATACAAATTGTTTACTATATCTGCAAACTATGCAGAAACAAACTTTTACTAAGGCAATGTCATCTAATAAAGCCGATTGTTTTTCACTGCTGGATTGCTTAAATCTCAACTAATATTGCTTTAAATTACATTCTTCTGTATTCACTGATCAGTCGACGCTAGAATTTAATTTAAATACGATCCACTTGGCTTTTTAGCACTTCAGCACCAGAGGTCTTTTTTACGTGACCTTAGTCATAGACATATTATATAATTACTGATTAGATGGTGCATTCTATTAAATATTCAGACAGCGAAGATCCTTATTGAAATTTCCTTTAGTGTGAAATTTTAAAAAATATAAACGAAATTTTATTGAGTCATGTTTAATTCGCTAATTCTATACTATAATATTATTTTTGTCATTTACTAATTCTATATTTAACTAGCACGCGAATGTAGCAAAGTTATAGAATGATCAAGACATTGTATGCAATTCCTATAAATAGAAGATGGAAACATAAACACTTTGTTACAAGGATCTATATATACCTACTTGTGTCATAAATGTCATATTCTTCTAATGTCATATAAAAGGTATTACCTACAGCTGTTTTTAATCAGTACTCAAATTTCTTCTTAATCATAGGAGAAAATATAATTTACGAACTGGGATA